AGTTGTTGCTCTTCTTTTCTTCGATCTCCTGTTGAGTTTGTAGGTGTTCAGAATGGTTTGATCCCTATCCAGCTGAATTCCTGAGAGGAGATGAAATCCAGGTCTCCTACTCCTCCGCCATCTTGCTCCCGACCGAGAGAGAGAATCTTAAGCAGGCTCCATGCCCAGTGGGGAGCTCAACACCAGGTTCAATCTCATGACGCCAAGATCATGACCTGAGCTCGGCTGGGCAGGCAGCCCACGCGCCGCGGCGTGGGGACGAGGCTCGGGCTGGTGTCCTCCCGGCTGTGCGCAGGAGGCTCGGGCGTGGGGAGGAAGCTGCAGAGGTGGGCTGATTGCCGCCGCTCCCCGCCCCCCTTTGCAGGCGGCTCGGAGACCAAGGGAGCATAATTCTTGAAAGAATGGGAAGGAAGGTAGGAAGGTGGTAAGTGAATAAATTAGAAGAATTGTCTCTTACTATTGTACATCTATATACACAAAGCAGATAAGTAGTCCACATTAGATCAGGTGCCCATAAAGCAAGAGGCTGATTCTGTAAAGTTGTAGTGACACCAACATATTTTAACACACTAGAAAAGGAAGATGGAGATTTATGACCCTCAATGTACCTGGTGCGTTGGCTGCTTATGGCCCTTCTGCGTTAAAATCCTAAGTTTAGTCTCTCAATGTCATCTTATTTCTTTACCACTATGGATCTGGGATCTACTTTCTCAATAGATTCCAGTATAGATGGATGAAAGACAGCTGTCTTTTAGTGTATTTTCAAAACAAAGTTTCAATTTACAGATAGAAGCATTGGAGGAGAGAGCCTCAGAATATAGAATGCTGGATTTATATTACATACAATGAAGAGCTTTTTGATGCTTGGATGAATTTTGGAAGGAAATTGTACATCCAAGCCGTCCTTTGTTTCAGAGATCTGTGTATCATTTCACAAATGAGAAAATCTGAATGAGAACTTAAATATACTGAAATGTATGAAGTGATTTCTCACCATCCTTTCTAGTGCAATATTTCTTTGACCTGACCTGAGGATAAGGTGTAGCTTTCATAATGACTCCAATGGAACTCAAAATTAGTATCTCATTGTCACATAGATTTTAGCTATTTCCCCTTGATGGAGATATAAGTGATTCACATTGGAATAGAAGATTCACAAAATGAACAATGTGAACTTTTTAGTTCCCTTCAAATCAGAGAAATAATTTGCCCAGGAGAAAAGGGGAATTTGGGCACAGTTAGACCTTGTTAGTGCTCAGTTGTTTGGTTAATGCCCATTTCTCTCTGTTTATGTGTTCATTCATCTAAACTCTTCAGGTATCAGTCCATCTACTTATTTATCATGTATTTGTTGAGTTCTTTCTGAATGATGTTACTGTAGATAGGTAATGTTGGGGTCTGAGGGAAAATAAATATTTTTCCCTTCTCTTCCAGATTCCTGAACCAATTAAAATTTTAAAAAAGATAGAGATTCTTAAGATCAAGTGTGAGCTTATTAAGAAACCTAATTGGAAAACTGAATTTATTTCTGAAACTAAATGGACTCGCTAATATTACCCATGCAGTGGATATTTTCTACCCTGACATTGACATAAATAAACAACAATAGCCCTCTCTTTTGCAGGGGTAGAATCTTCTCTATAAAGGCATAGTAAATCCATTTGCATTCTTTTCTGTGGTCAGACTGATTCAAGAGACAGAAGATTCAGAGGGGGTGGAGTTGAGCATTTTTAGTTCTATTTTTGTTTTTTCAAATTCACAATTAGTTGGGGTAAATACAGAGAGAGGCTATAAATTTTCCTTCCATTATTTCCCCTCTTGGAGTGTAGAGTAAAAATTACTTCCCCTCCATGAGAACATGTGGGGTACAGGAATGTATCCTGGACATAGTCCTGATGATGTGAATTAACATGGCTATGGGTAATTTGTTGTCTTTAGAGCATAGGATGTGGCCTGGGAAGAAACAGATAATGAAGCCCATGCATTAATATCATTATTAAGCCCAAGAACGTGACAAATACTTTTTATTTAGCATATATTGTAAGCTCAGGTGTCTGCTGGGTGCTCTGAAGAATACAAGGAAACTATATTAGTATAGTACATACATTCATTTCCTGCTTACTAGGAACCTATAGTCTAGTTGGGGATATAAGCTTCCACAAATTAAAAGATAAGTAAGTGTAGAAGGGAGTTTCTAGTGAGTTCCAAATAGTGGTACAAACAATATTGGAGGGGTTCAGAGGTAGAAGGAGGTGAAGGGAATGAGAGGTACTAAGAGGAGCTAGATCAAGGAAGTGTTCTTGGATAAGGTGAAGTTCTGACTGGGCTTTGAAAAGACGGATAAAAGAAGGCAGGATTTATAGGGGTAAAGATCAGAAGCGTGAGCAAGGACACAAAGAACATGCATATGGGGACATATGGGGGATGGTGAATAAAACACCCTAATTGGAATAAATATTTTAGATAATGAGAGATGAGCATGGGAAGGTGGTTTGGGTGGTTTTATTTTGAAGGACCTTGTTGGCTGAACTAAGGAGCCATGGTCTTGATTTTTTAGGCAGGAGAGAGCTATTACAGTATTTTTAACAGTAGAATGACATGGTCAGATTAGTTATTTAGAAAGACCACTCTGATAACACCAATGTGTAAGATAGACTGAAGGGAGGCAAATGGAATAGAGATTAAAGAAGTTAAGAAGCTATTGCACTGGGTGTTATATGAAAATAATGAATCATGAAACACTACAAAAAAAACTAATGATGTACTGTATGGTGACTAACATAACATAAAAAAAGAAGCTATTGCTATCATCAGACATGATAGGAATTATCTTTAAGGCAGTGCAATGGTAAGTCAAAATGAGAGAAATGAGACTTTTTCTTTTTTACAGCCATTAATGGAAAGCTCTACAGCAACCTCGGGGGTCTTACCATGTACCAAGGAGAACGAGTGGCCTGGTACATGCTGGGCATGGGTCAAGATATTGACCTCCACACTGTCCACTTCCATGCAGAGAGCTTCCTATATCGGGTGAGTAAGAAAAGGGCTGAGTACCTCAAGAATGATTAGAGGAATGCTTTGACAGTTATTAAGGAAGAAGAGAACAACTTCTTAAGGAAGAAGATGTTAGTTAAAAGGGGAGAGGTCTTGTACATGGAGAATTGAGCTGGGAATTCTAGTTTGGCTGTGTATTCCAGGGTCAGTCACTTCCCTCTAGTCCTTAGCTTTTCCTTCTAGTATAGAAGAAATGAGTAGCTCATTTATGGTGTAAGTAGGTTGAAGAAATCAATGTAATTGGATACCAGACAAGGACTGGAGGGATAGTGAACAGTGATCCTAAGAGCAAGAAATTTCAGAGTGATATCTCAGAATCTATGAAAGTTCTTAATCAGTTATAAAAAGAACTTCAATTCAGGAGCTACATGGAACAACATGCAGATTTTGAAAAAGAAGATTTAGTCTTAGGGAAAGGGAGCAGAGTTGAAGGCATTAATATAGAATTAAAGTTATAGAAATGTGATAAAAGTGATAGCATGGAGAGGAAACTAAATTGAGTTCAATTTCTAAAGGAAATATGTAGTTCCTTCCTAGGAGTCAAGGCTTAAGCCAAAATCCCCAGATGTCAGCCTGCTGAAAAGTATGGTGATATTAGTTTTATCCCCCAAAGGAAGATGGAATGTCTTTTACTTTGGGACACTTTAAGAAAAAGTAGGAAGAAATGGTCTCCTCTGTTGATTCAGTTTGTGTGGGTGGGTTTATAAGGAAGATGGATAAGGCAGGATCTACAAATCTTGGAGTCCCATGTCCCTGATTGGGACATCCAAGCTTTTTAGCTCCTATAAGCTCTGAGATTATCTCTTTACCCTTTATTTCCTCTCCCCTACTCCCAATATTTATTACAGAATGGAGAGAGCTACCGGGCAGATGTGGTGGATCTGTTCCCAGGAACCTTTGAGGTTGTGGAGATGGTAGCCAGCAACCCTGGGACATGGTTGATGCACTGCCATGTTTCTGATCATGTCCATGCTGGTATGGAGACCCTCTTTACTGTTTTATCCCAAAGAGGTAAGGTCTAACTTCTCAAGACTGGAAATCTTCAAACACTTTATGTAGCCTACAGGAACCAGTTAATCCCTAGAAATCCCTTGTATCTGTCTTTCTGATCCCAGAAGAACCAGGATTTAAGGCAGAACAGGACCCACCCAGGTGTTCTTCCAACCAATATTTCTCATTCTCCATTGCCCCCTTGTTCCTGCCCCCTCCTAATTACTTTGACATCTATTGATTTCACATTAGTTGACCCAGCCTGAAACTCGTTAAGCTCTATGCACTGATGCTTACCATAGATATGCTTCCTTTGAAATATATTTCATTTGAATATAAATTTTTTATTTTATGATTCATTAGAGGTGTTATTTCAAGAAATTTTGCAAATAAGTCCTTTCTTTTAAAAAAAGAAGAAATATAATTCTAATAGTCACCTCTTAATTGATTTGTGAAAAAGTTCTTTCTGTCTTGGAACAAGTTGGTCTAAAGCTAGATGGAGATATTGGCCTTCAATTATAGCTTATCCCAGAAATATGTGAAGGGTGAAAAAAAAGGGTTTGTCTTATATTTTTATATGGAGAGTGAATTGCTGGGGTAATTTCTTTACCACTCAGTTGTTGTTTATCACCAAGAACATAGAAGTTTAGGCTGCCATGAACTTTGTGTCTTTGGGTCATTAATTGTTTAAGAGCCTCTTGACCTGAGTCTAGAATTTCCAGTCATTGACACTCTATCAGCAGAAATAGAAAGTTTGAAAATGTCTTTGGGTATTCAAAAAGCTTAGTAAACCAGGGTAGAGAACACAACTCTGCTATTTACCCCCAGGGAAAGAGAAATTGTCCATTATGATATCCTGTATCTTTGAAAAGCTTTGTTCTCTAGTAACCCATAGTGCTAAAATGTGGCTTCAACTCTAGTACTACTACTTCTACTACTACTCTAGTACTATTCCTTACTACCCAGATAGGTCCACAGAATTCTTTGTTGTATTTTCTCAGTCTTTAGAACCAAAGTCAAGTGATGAATTGATGTGTCATCAAGATGCTATAGATTCAGGTACCTGGGTGGCTCAGTTGGTTAAGCGTCTCCTTCAGCTCAGGTCATGATCCCAAGGACCTGGGATCGGGCTCCATGTCGGACCCCTTGCTCATTGGGGAATCTGATTCTCCCTCTCCCTCTGCCTGCCCCCCCCCCACTCATTCTCTCTCTCTCTCAAATGAATAAATAAAAGCTTTAAAAAAAAGGTGCTATAGATGGAAGACAACGGTTTTATCTGTCTATAATGAGTCATCCAAAATCTGGACCATTTAATAAACAACAGATTATCACAATACATATGATCAGAGAACCTCCATGAATAAGGATAGCCTATATCTCTGACAAGGAGCCAGCCCATAAAGCTCACCTATTTGCTTTTTAGTTTGTTTATACCTCATGATACTCTAATTCAATATTGCTCCAACTACATATGTGCTAACTGGCAAACCAGAGGAAATAGTTGAAGACAGATAGGGAAGAAAGGACTAATTGTTGAAACAAGGTTCCTGATGAGGAAACAGGGAATGAAAACTGGAGCTAAAATGAAAAATTAGACTGGAGTAAGTTTTTGTTTGTTTATTTACTAAAAGGGGAGAAAAGACAGAAAAGAAAATGATCAATGTGTAAGTTTGGGTGAGGGGCTTGTCAGAAAGAATATTTCTATTTTATGGTCTCTGCTTCATTTGTGAGAAAGGAGACAGAGTCATCTACTGAGAGTGAAAGATAGTTAGTAGGATAAGGAATTGAAGACAGTGGGCTAAGGTTTGAAATAACCACTCCAGGAGATGGGAAAACAAAATTTACTCTGAGTGATGGAAAATAAATTAATTATTGGCAGACAACACTGAGGGCCTAAAGTTGGACACAAAGAATACTGATATTTACAATTACATGATTTTTCTCCACCAATATTCAGCAAATCAGACAAAACACGGGGAAAACATAGTTACTATGGTTTTTGGTGGATGATTATAGCACTTCTGGTAAGTTAGTAGTTGAAGTGATAGACCATAGAGTCTAGCCAGACCAGGAAAGGGAGGGGGAAGAGAGGATGAAGCTAATAGTTTGGGAAAAATGGAAGGATCCAGAAACTGGAGATCTTTATGAAGTGAGGATAACAGGTTAAATGGAATAAATAGCATTAAAACATTGAAGGAATAGGAGGATGTTGTTAGATTTTATATTTCTGAGATGGAGCAGTTCTGAATAATAAGTCCAATGTGACCATGGGAAGTGTTGATAGAATAAGAGTAGATGTAAAAGTTGTTGGAGTTAAAAGTTCCAGAAACTGTGAAGCTTGAGGGGTGAATGGTGGGAATTGAGGAAGAAGAAGACTGTGCCGGGTACCAAATTCATTCCATGAATGAAAATAACTACCAGGTAACAGTGACAAAAAATGGTTGTGGGTTTTCTAGCCAAATAATACAAGCCTCAAATGAGATAGAGATATGCCACAAAAAAAGGGGAGGAACAATGATCTCAAACCAGTATTGAGAGGATATAAAGGAAACATAGTGCTCAGAGAAGAGCTCAGCCTCATTAAAGCCAGAAGAAGTGTTTGAGGAGAGTTTGAATATGTAGGGATATCGTTTTGAAAAGGAACAAAAATTTCCTGAAGGGAAGGTAGGAAAGGGTGACAAAGAAAACAAGAATGTGGATAGGAAGTACCAATAAATATGTACATAATGGCAGAGGGTTGACTTACCTTTTGGACTCCCAAGCCTATGTTTTTGCTTATATTTTTATCAGTACTCAAAATCAAATCCATATACCAATATTGACTTTGACAATAAGGTAGTTAATTCCAGGCACCTTCATTTTACTTAGGATACCACAGAGAAATTCCTCTAACCAATGCCAATACCCACAACAAACCTGTGGATTGGTAGGAATAATAACAAAGCTAACTAACTTCTTTTTTTTTTTTCCAGAACACGTAAGCACTATCACCACCATCACCAAAGAGATTGGAAAGGGTAAGGAGAATAATGCACAAACTGGGTAGTTGTATGTAGTATGTACTTGGGGGGGGGGAGGTGAAGTGCCTCTAGAAGATGAAATTCACTGACCAAAAGGTGGACTATAATACTAGCAGGAAGCATTCTGAGATTTTTGTAAGACTTCAAAAGCCAGGAACCCAAGGTTCAACTTCTCTAAGCAGGTTTATTCTCTACCCCCCACTCCCAACCTCCTAAGTTGAGGAAAACAGCTTAATCCCCAGTTGAAGGTTGCATTCTTAGCTTCCCACCTAATGTATGAGGGGGAAGAAAATTCAGAGTTTCACTGGGTTGGACATAAAGGAGCTGTAACACAGACATAAACTACTCACAGAGACAGTATGAAACTAGTACAAATACCATACGTACAGTCTGCATCAGCTATTTTTATTCTTGTATCTATGGAATACCAAATAGTTGACTCTTTGGAACCAGCCATTTCTGCCCTTCAAAAAAGTAGAAATTCTTGTCCTACCTAAACTAGGTCCAAATAGTGCTTTCACTCTCCCCCACACCATTTGTGCCTGGACTGAGAAAGACTCAGAAAGTTATGAGAGCTAGAAGGGATGTTAGAGATCATCAGTTGAGTCTGGTGATTTTTTTCAGTTATGTTTGCAAAAGTCCTAATGATCTCCCTAAAAAACTTATAAACTGTCATTCAGGGGACTAGGGTATGTCCTGGAGGGATCGGGGTAAGGTAAAGTGAGGCTGAGAGAGTGGAATGGCATACATATATATATATGTGTGTGTGTGTATTTGTATATATAGAAAGAAGGTCACTTACTCTGGGAAACAAAGAATGAGTTATTGTGACTAAAGAGTAGAAGATAAAACCAAAAAAGGCAGGTTAGAGCCTGATTGTGAGAGTTGGAATTTGTATATATCCACACATATATATTGGTGTGTATATACATATTTTGTGTGTATATTTGGATATACATAATACATATTTCTATGTACATACATACTCATAAGCTCTTACTTGTAAGAAAGGTTCCACAATGGGGAAAAAACTCAAAAACTGTGGTCTAATAAAACCCAATAGTTTTGTACATGAGAAACAGAGATGGAAGGTAATTTGTCCAAGGTTACAAAAGGAGTTAAGTGGTAGAATGTAAACTCAGAACTAGGATGTTTTCCAGCTTCCATTTGAACTCATTATATTTCATCTTCTCTCTGTTCTTTTAAGAATGTTCATTCATCCATTTATATATTTATCAAACATGTGCTAAGTTCCAGGGACACTAAACAACTAAGAAACATACTACTCTCCAGGAGGTTTGTGTCTAGATATGGAATGAGACACAAAAACAATAATGGCACTGCTGGTATATATTGTAAAAAAAGGGGGGGCAAAAAATAACAGCTATCAGTTATTGTACATTTGTTATCTTCCAGGTGCTATGCTAAATATCATAAATATTAACTCATTTAAATCTCACAAGAAACCTCTGAGCTAAGTTTGGTTCTTATCACCATTTTATAAAACAGGAGACTGTAAGGATACTTTGGGAACACAAGAAAGGACCATTAACTGCCCAGCTAAATTGAAGAAGGCTTTGTAACATTTAAGATGGCTATAGAAGAAGGCTTTGTAACATTTAAGATGGGTATAGAAAGGTGAAGAGGGAGAAAGGGTGTTCAGAAAGTCTTGGGAGCCTGAAAGGTCACTTACTCTGGGAAACAAAGGATGAGTTATTGTAACTAAAGAGCAGAACATAAAACTAAAAAAGGTAGGTTAGAGCCTGATTGTGAGAGTTGGAATGCCTGGCTTGATTCTGAGTTTTACTTTGTGAGTTAATTGGAGATCAGCAAAAGTCTATATGCCAAGAACTAAGACAGATTATTTCACCTGGAAAGATCAATGTAACATCAGTATTATCATGACCCAAAAAGGTGACAGACCAGACAGCACAGTGGCAGGCAGTTATCATGGTCCAATAGTCAAATTGAGCATTGATAAGCTAGATGATTTAGTCATACTGCCTCCCTGAAGATTCTACTCATTGCTCCCAATTCTATCATCTGGAAACATGCAAACCAAATCCAATTATTTTTATTATTATTATTTTTACATCACAAGCCTTTATATATTTGAAGAAATATATCAAGGCCCTTTCTACTCTGAGTTTTAGCTCTTTCCATGGGGCAATTGGGCCCTCGGTGATTCCTACGGGCTTTCTCAGCTGTGACATCTTGTTACACAAATTCTTTGTAACCTATAAATCTGTCTTCATCAGCTGGTCTTTTTAGGGATAGCAGTTCCTCTGTCCAATTTTGATAGGGTTATTTCTTCTTTCCCAGGAGTTGACTGCAAATGGTGCCCCATTAGAGTACTCTCCACCTCAGGGTTCCCATTTTTCTCTTATTCCATTTCAGCAACAATCCTCAGAGACATTGGAGAAGGAAATGTGAGGATGCTGGGCTTGCAGATCCCTGTGAAGAATATTGAGATGCTGGCTTCTGTTTTAATTGCTATGAGTATCATTCTCCTGCTCATTGCTCTGGCTCTTAGTGGTGTGGTCTGGTACCAGCATCGGCAGAGAAAGCTACGACGCAACAGGAGGTCCATCCTGGATGACAGCTTCAAGCTTCTGTCCCTCAAGCAGTAACAGCTGAATCCTGCAACTGCACGTCTTGAATGCAGTCCCAGAAGGCCATGCTCCAGTAACTGACCCCACTGTCAAAGGCACATGGATGGTAGAGGGGCAGAGGAGGAATCAGACTCATCTGAGCATTTCTTCACTTATTTATTTACATGGAAATTATGTACTTTCTTTCTCTTTATTTTTTTTTCTCCACTTGGGCAGCTGGGGCAAGAAAGTCCCCTCATATCCTATATTACAAATTTCAGCAGCTGGATTATATCAACCACTGACACTTGGAAGATCTGGAAATTTCTAGTAACTGATTCTTCTTACAAAGTAGATACCAAGGGTAAAACTCATTGATTAGGTTTCTGTTACTTTTCAGGACCTAGGCAAGTTCACTCTGATCCAAGGTTAAGTGAGCTGTGAAAATAATCCACATCTAAACTAAGGACTAAGAAAATGGGCATGATGGAGAATGGGTGGGGTGGGATTTGAAGATCAAAATTTTATTTTGATTCTCCTTAGGAACAAACTATTTTGGAGAAGTGGGTAGATGGAATATTGTTGTTATGAGTACCTGCAACCCCTGGAGCCAGAAGTTCCTCAGGAAGTTAATCCTCCATGTTTCTGGCACAGTTTCACTAAAGGGAATGTTGGGTGTCCTTTCCATATTTTAGGCAGCAAATCCTATACATTCAAGTACTTGGTAGAAGACTATAAGAGTGAACATGGTGTTTTTAATGATCCCTGTGGCCTCTGGGAGTTTGTGACCATTATTGAAACAAAGAGCACTCACTGAGGGGAGTGTAATATGGGTCTGTTTATCCTATTTGTGGAGCCTGCGTGTTTGTGTTTTAGAAATGGAAAAGGTGTCTTAGAGTGGTGGCTATCATCTTTTAGCCCATAGGTGCCAAAATATTTTGAATTCTGAGAAAATTTTCCAGATGGAAATAGAGGGCTGAGACAAGGCTTAAACCTGTCCACTGGGCAAGGAGAGGTGGGCACAGATCTCGTGGAGTCCTTGGCATTTGGGGGTATAAGAGGTATTTTTGCAATTTGGGGAGCTTTTTAATAGGACAGGATCCTTCTCTCGGGTACCCTAAAGCAATATTCCTTGTCACCTGTAAGTTCATACCTCTCAGAAACCTTGGTCAGAGACCACAGGCAAGATATAAAAGCAGAGATGAAATAAGATGACCCACCCTCACTATAATATCCATAATACTATTTTACATGGCAAGTGAAGAACAGAAGACATAGAGGCAGAATGAAGATAATAACTGAAATATGTAGTGCTTTATACTTTAAAAAGCATCTAATACCTGATTGCATTTGACTTGTTTTAGTTCTATCAGGGTGATACTTTGTTTTATATTTGAATAAACAAAGGATCAGATAGAGTAATTTTACCCAAGGCTGTTCAGCTAGAGGTTGAGCAAGGATTCATGTCTTAATCTGTTTGACTCCAAATACCTGTTTTCATTCTGGTATATCATGGAAACTTCCATTGACTGCAATTTTCCTGTCTTCTTAGACAACCTGTCTGCCTACTTGGGTACCCTTTACAGATCAAATGTAGAAACCCCCCGGGCTGGTATTCAGTTGCCATATAATGTTGAAGGTTGAAGGAGAAAACACAGTCCAGAGCCTATTATTCATCTTGGCTTACAGCAGTCAGTGGATTTCTGGACACCTTTACTGGAAATCACAGACACATAACAGAGGAAGAAAATGTTGGAAAGTTTAAATTGCTAGTTACAAAATCAAATGATAGAGTATTTAAGCCATTGCATAATCAATACACTTAACAGCAAAACTTTTTGTCCTATTGTTAATGTGCAGGATATTGAAAACCCAGTGCACATTGGAGACTCTATAGTTAATAGCTATGATTTGCATGCATCTGGGAGGTTGTTAGCTTGGTTATGGTCATGAATATGAGACAAGGAAGAAGTAGGTGAAATGGGGTTACATTTCTTCTGAGTGTGTAACCCTGCTTCAGATCAGGAAATGTAAACCTAAGCCCATGTATTTCAAAAATGGATGTATTTTTATGGTGGGTTTGCTCCCAGTGGGGATGTAGGAGATGTTTTTGACAATTAAGTGACACTTGCATTCATTCAGTTGATCAAGCCAGAAAACCCCAAAGTCAACATATTGGTGAGTCTTGTCTGTTTTGTCTCCTAAATTGCTGTAACTGATTAATTTGTTCTATCTTTACTACTACCACCCAGTATAAAAAAACAACCATCTTTTACCTGGACTAGAGTGGTAAACTCCTGATCACGCTCCTCGCATCTAATCTAGCCCCTTACATTTTGTTCTTTATGCAGAAAAATGATGTTTAAAAATATAAGTTAGGCTTACAGTTCAGATGAGATGCCACAAACTTATCTCTCTTTAGAGATAAACACTGTAAATAATAAAAGAGACAATAGAAGGAATAAAAAAGATGAAAAGAAGAAGGCAATCTGGAAAAGCACAGAGCAACAAAGCAACTGGGCATCTTCCCAACACCCAGCCTAGCAGAACACAGCCCAAGATCAAAGAGGAATCCTAATGAAAACCCCAGATGGACCTAGAGGCACAAAGAGAGATTGAGGTGGATCCCTGCTGACATTGAGTAGCCAGGAAAGCTTGTCATCATCTCTTTTGGCCAGAGACTCCCCTTTCTTAATTAGACATTGGGAAGGACCTGCAAGGGGAATCTCAACATAACAAGCTGCCCAGCCCAGGAAGCACTCTTTTGCTGCAAGCTGGAGAATCCCTTTCACTACCTAGAGAAAATAAGTGGCTCTGTCAGGGATCAACAGAAACACCAGAGAAACCATACCAAACAAAATACCACAACAAAGTCTCTGAAAATTACATTGTTATTGGAACACAAAATTATGCCAGGACCCCACATTGGCCTAGAGCCTACTTAAAAAAAAGAATGATAAAAAGAGAGTTTCATTTTGCCCATATCACAACTAGGCCAGTCTGGCACAGTGTCCCATGGAGAGGACCTCTCTGGACCTATGTTTTTTTCAGTGGAAGAAGAGAGTCCAAAGTGAACATCTAGTTATCCCAGAGTTGTGATGTTTCTTGGGGGACCCACTCAGGTCCCACCTCATGAGTATCACTGGGAGATCTTCAGGGCTGAAATACTGGGGATCAGATACAGACATAGAATTGGTGTTGGATTTGTAGTAACCAGTACTTAGGCTTCAGTGGACCATATTCCTACTTGCAGCAGTACTCAAGTAGAGACTCTATCCAATAGCTCTACTCATCTACAGAGCCAAGGCATGGCCCTGTCTGTCCAGTGAGCTTAGTTGGCAGTTCAGCCTGAATTGGGTGTCTAGCATACTGACTATGGAACCTATTCTAATGCCCCACCTGAGCAGGAAAACAAACTTACAGCCCTACCCAACTGCTGAGCATAGCCCCCAGTTCATGCCAGAGGACCTGGGAAGTTGAGGAGTCAATTCTAACACCCCGTTCAGGCAGGGAAACAAGACAGCAGCCCTGCACATTTGGTTTTTATTTTATTTTATTATTTTTATTTTTTTAATTTTAATTTTAATTCAAGTACAGTTAACATAGTGTTATATTAGTTTCAAGTGTACAATAATGATTCAACAATTCAATACATCACCCAGTGCTCATCATGACAAACACACTCCTTAATCCCCATCACTTATTTCACCTATCCCACCCACCTCACCTCTGGTAACCATCAGTTTGTTCTCAGTAGGGAAGAGTCTGTTTCTGCATTTGTCTCCCTTCCCTTTTTTTTCCCTTTGCTCCTTTGTTTTGTTTCTTAAATTCCATAAATGAGTGAAATCATATGATATTTGTCTTTCTCTCACTGACATATTTCAATTAGCATTATACTTTCAAATTCCATCCATGTTGTTGCAAATGACAAGATTTTATTCTTTTTTAGGGCTGAATAATATTCATATATATATACCAAATCTATCCATTCATCTATCCATGGACACATGGCCTGCTTCCATAATTTGGCCATTGTAAATAATGCTGCTATAACCATAGTGGTTCATGTAAATCTTTGAATTAGTGTTTTTGTAATTTTGGAGGTAAATAACCAATACGATTACTGCATCATAGGATAGTTCTATTTTTAGCTTTTTGAGGAACCTCCATACTCTTCTGCAAAGTGACTGCACCAGTTTGCATTCCCACCATGAGTGCATGAGGGTCCATTTTTCTCCACATCCTTACCAACACCTGTTTATTGTGTTGTTGATTTTAGTCATTTTTATAGGTGCAAGGTGATATCAAATTGTAGTTTTGATTTGCATTTCCCTAATGATGAGTGATGTTGAGCATTGTTTCATGTGTCTGTTGGCCATCTAGGTGTTTTCCTTGGAGAAATGTCCGATCACGTCTTCTGCCCCTTTTTAAATTGGATTATTTGTATTTGGATGTTGATTTGAATAAGTTCTTTATATATTTTGGATATTAACCTTTTATCAGATAGATCATTTGCGAATGTCTTCTTCCATTCAATAGGTTGCCTTTTGGGTTTTTTTTTTTTATTGTTTCCTTCATTGTGCAGAAAATTTGTATCTTGAAGTAGGCTCAATAGTTTATTTTTGTTTTTGTTTCCCTTGCCTCAAGAGACATATCTAGAAAGAAGTTGCCACAGCTGGTGTCAGAGACATTCCTGCATATGCTCTCTTCTAAGATTTTTATGGTTTCAGTCTCACATTTGGGTCTTTAATACATGTTGAATTTATTTTTGTGTATAGTGTAAGAAATTGGTCCAGTTTCTTTCTTTTGCATGTAGCTGACAAGTTTTCTCAACACCATTTGTTGTAGAGAGTGTGTTATCTCTCATTGGATATTCTTTCCTGCTTTGCCAAAGATTATATGGCCATACAATGGTGGACTTATTTCTGGGTTTTCTATTCTGTTCCATTGATCTATGTGTCTATTTTTGTGCCAGTACCACACTGTTTTGATTACTACAGCTTTGTAATATAACTTGAAGTCTGGAATTGTGATGCCTCCAGCTTTTTTTCTTTTTCAACACTGCTTTAGCTATTTAGGGTCTTTTGAGGTTCCATACAAATTATAGGATTGTTTGTTCTAGCTCTGTGAAAAATGCTGGTGGCATGTTGATAAGGATTGCATTAAATGTGTCGATTGCTTTGGTAGTATAAACATTATAACAGTATTTGTTC